TGCTGCAGGGCCCCAGGTCTCCACGCCGCCTGCTGCAGGGCCCCAGGTCTCCACGCTGACTGCTGCAGTTCCACAGCTCTCCACGCCGACTGCTGCAGTTCCACAGCTCTGCACGCCGACTGCTGCAGTTCCACAGCTCTCCATGCCGACTGCTGCAGATCTGGCCCCATTGCGAGGTATTGGAGGGTCGCCCGGCTTTTCGCCCTTGACATTGCTAATTGTCGGACAACCTCCTGGCCGCCCACCCGAGCCCTGTAACAGCTCTGGACGGTCGTTCTGGCTACCAACCTATGTCATACCCTCCTCCAAGACACCTCCTCCACCCAGCCAGTTCTTTTCTTTCTCAAGCCTTGTTCTCTGGATTATTGACCTCACGCCTGCCTTCTGGATTTCCCATTTTTTGCCTGCTCCTCATCTGGTTCTGTTCTGCCTCTCTGACCATGGTAACGACCTCCTCTTCAGTCTATGACCTCGACTCACGGATCACCCTTTTGGATTGCCCTTTGGACCACAACCTTTCATTGCCCCACTGTCCATAGCATTAAAGGCCTCCCTCTGCAGCTACCAGCAGCCTTATTAATAAAAACGGTTAATTTTCGCACTCCTGTGTCTGGTTTATATTGAATCCAAAACCTTGGTTCGTGACAATCACGTCTAGGTTGGATTATCGCAATGGTTTGTTATCTGGGTGTCCACAAACTTATTTAAAAAGTCTCCAGCTGATCCAGAATGCTGCTGCCAGAGTTTTAATGAGAGTTGATAGGAGAGATCATATATCTCCAGTTTTAGCTTCCCTCCATTGGCTACCTGTCAAATTCAAAATAGAATTCAAAATCTTACTTCTAACCTACAAAGCTCTCAACAACCTAGCTCCATCTTATATTACAGATCTTGTTGTTCCATACTTTCATAGCAGAGCACTTTGCTCTCAGACCATAGGTTTCCTTGTGGTTCCTAGAGTTTCCATAAGTAGAATGGGAGGCAGATCTTTCAGTTATCAGGCTCTTCTCTTGTGGAACCAACTTCCAGTTTCTGTCTGTGAGGCAGTCCAGTTTTAAGATTAGGCTCAAGTCTTTCCTTTTTAATAAATCCTGTAGTTAGGGTTGGCTTGGGTTTCCTGAGCTATCCCTTAGTTCTGCTGCTATAAGCTTAGACAGCTGGAGGACAAATTGACCACATTTCCTCACTATGCTGCTGTCTTTCCTTGCTCTACTCTACCTAATTATATTTTAAATTATTTATTATTTATATCCTTAACATGTTTTTTTTTTGTCTTTCCTTCAATAGAAAGTACACCTGGATCTGTCATTCTATGTTTGCTTGTTTCTCCTTCTTTTCTTCTCAAACCCCAGCCTCTGAGCCTGGTTCTGCTGGAGGTTTCTTCTTGTTAAAAGGGAGTTTTTCCTTTCCACTGTTGCCTTTGAGCTTGCTCAGGATGGGAGACTGTGACAAAGTGAAGATTCAACGCAATTTGCTGGCTTCCTTAGATACTGTAGATGACTTTTACTACTTGGCTTTTATATATGTGAATGTTTTTGTGCAGTGTCCTGTGATGATTTCTGTTGTGATTTGGCACTATATAAATAAACTGAAACAAATTTAATTGAATAGCTTGCTTATGACTTTCAGTTTATCATCAACCGGTGCTTTGGTCTTGGAGGTCATCCGTTTCCTCTTTCAACATAATATATTAATAATTCACTTCAAAATGCTTTCTCCACAGTCCTCAAGCAGCAGGTTTAATGAAGGTTTTCCAATGTGTTCCACTTAGAGGAGAACTGGAGCAGACACAAAACTGGATCAAGAGATTATATTGTGCTTGACATGGGGATTTTAGTTAAAATGCTTGTAGCTAGGGCAGCATGGTGGCGCAACTGGTAGAGCTGCTGCATCTCAAAAACATGCATGTTAGGCTGATTGGTGACTCTAAATTGTCCCTAGGTGTGAGTGAGAGAGTGAACGGTTGTTTGTCTCTATGTGTCCCTGTGATGGACTTGCGACCCGTCCAAGGTGTACCCTGCCCCTCGCACAGATTGCTGGACATGGGCACCGGCGACCCCCGTGACCCAAAATGGAAGAAGCGGGTAAAAGATAATAGATGGATGGATGCTTGTAGATACGACTTGGTTCCACCACTGCTGCAAATTTCAGCAGCAGCAGCAAAAACAAGACCGGTTTCCAATTACAAATACATGCTTTACATCGGTTATTGCATGTACATTCCCTGTTTATATGACTATTGTATTTGAAAGGAAACAACTTGTTACAGAACTTGGATTTAATCCTAATTATTTTGTTGAGGTACAATTTATGCTTAAAGGTGCCATAACAAGTAAGGATGAACAGATTATTACTTACCTGATTATTATCAAACTGTCAGTCACTGGTTAGAACTCTATTTACTTGCTTTCAGCTTAGCCACAGATGTCTTAAAGGACATTAAATCCATCAGCAGTCATCACTTTGTCACAGAAAGATTTTTCAAAACCTTATCATATCTTGATTTGCAAGCGTGGGTTAAAAAAAATCTAAAGGATTTAGGATTTAACGTAAATCTCACTGACCCAGATAAACTGGGTGAATGGGTTTTACCCAGTAGGCCACACCCCTGTCAGTCTTCTGTGTCCCCACTTTGTACCTCTGGTGTCATTGTCAGATTTCTCCCAGTCGAGGATGACGAAGGATGGGCAGCCTTCCACAGTAACCACAGTGAGGTTGGATGGCGCCGTCCGGGGAGGACCGGTCACATTCTGATCACTGCCTTCCTCATCAGGGAAGTAAGCCATGGAGGAAGTGATGGAGCAAGGCTCATCTGGCTTCTTATCTGTCTTGTAGATAACATGTGGAGCTGTAGACAGAGATGGGGGAAAAAATCTTGATTTTAGACACAGCAAACTCAGTGATTGTAAGGCTGGCGGGTAAATGATGGTCTTACCAACAAAACGCTTCTTGCCCATGATATCTACCTCTGACGCAGGCAGGGGTCTAAATATGGAAGCGTTTTCATGCATGTCAAAGCGGCTGCCTGAAAGGGAAACAGTGAGGAGGAGGTGGTTATTTGGAGGTTGCCATCACTCCATGGCAGCTCTCTGTGTCTTCTTATTTTACAGCTCTGGACCCTGACTCCAACAAGCCAGTCCAGCACCTGCTCTGGCCTGGACTGAGACTCTTGGTACTAAAAATTTTATCTAGCAACTTGGCACATCTGCATTTTTACTCAAATATTTTGCTCACCTTCATGTGCATGCAGAAACTCCAGAGTATTTTTATTCTCACTACACTCATAAATACATTTTTGTGTGTAATAACCTAGGCATTATGAGCACTGAATTGATAGTTTCTCGTGAAAAAGGTTTGAATTGCTCCTACTGTTTACAGCAGGGATGGCTGTGGTCAACTGCTGCTTGTGCTCGTGCTTTGGTTTGGCTGTGACCACTGAGAGGGGCTTCAAGATGGACTCTTTGTCTTCTTGTTTCAGGTCCACGAGTTTATCTGAGGACAGAGAAGGAGGAGAAGATATCAGCTCTTCTCCCACATCATCTGACTCACAGCAACACACAGTTGTGATCCATCTGCTCTGGCCATCTTCACCGAGCTACTCAGAGGCCTTTTTTCCTGGCTGCTGAAAGACCTGACATCCCTAATGGGCCTAGAATAAGATAAAAGCCTGCCAAGAATGGTCTGTTGAAACTAAGGATCCTGAGATGCACTAACAAAACGCACATATGCTTGCTTTGTGCCCAATATGATGGCTAATGCTAGCTATAATGTTGCAAGAAATGGTTGTTTGTGCATCAACAAGCATTTGAACTCAGAAGGCCATTTAGACAGGTGAGTATTGTTTTCTTGCAAAACACAATGTAAGGTGCAGCACAGAAAAGTACTGCAGCAGAAATCCTGTGGGAAAATACACATGGGTCTGACAGTCATTATTCAGGTAAAGTCACTGCATCAAGTGATGTGTAAAATACAAGATAGACTTTCTTAGTAAAAAGAAGAAAGTAGGAAATATAATTAGAGAATAATTGGAAAACATGTCTTCTCCCATGTTTAATTCCAGGATTAAAACCACATATTCAAGCTTTAGTCATTGTGTGACTTGGAGGGATTTTATAAAGTCTTTAACACTGCATTATTTGTTGGTTAGACATAAAGGGACATGCTGCAGAAACACAATCCCAACTTCATCACAAAGAGCAAGTGAACCTCATGATTGCATGATAATTATCCAAAAGACTCATTAATAATTAATTTAAGCTGAATTAGTGGAACTTTTATTTTAAAGAGCTATCTACACCAGGTAATATATTCATTCATAATTTTCCCACAGATTATCATATATGTGTTTTGGGTGTCTAGTTTTTCTGCATTTGTTACTTATGTTTTACTGTATTTTTCGGGCTATAAGTTGTGTTTTTTTTTTTTTTTTTGCATAATTTGCATGCCCTGCGACTTATACACCGAAGCAACTTATTTATGAAAATTTTCCCATATTTATAAAACAATTTTTGGCTGAGCTATGACAGTTTTCATTCATTCTGACTAAATTATTGAACACTACCATTTTCAGCTGCTAGATGACACTCCAGAGTATGGCATGCCTTTGTGTCATGTAAAAGGTAATAATGGCTATTAATGACACAATTGGCTTGCCATAGTCCAGGAAGCAAAGTTGTAATCCTCCACACCTCTCTGCTGCTTTTCCTCTGTTACCCACCCACACCCCCATTGAAACAGTGTCAACTCGCCCACGGCTCAAATTAAATAAACCAAAAATCAGCTCTAAAAATATAAACCATAAAAATCTTATTAAAATAAACACAGTTACTTTACCAGAGCAAAATCATAAAATAATTAAATATGGATTATTGAACATCAGATCTCTTTCCTCTAAATCCCTGTTAGTTAATGAACTGATAACTGATCATCATATTGATTTATTCTGTTTGACAGAAACTTGGCTACAACAGGAGGATTTTGTTAATATAAATGAATCCACTCCTGCTAATTATTCAAATTTTCATGTTCCTAGAACAACTGGCCGAGGTGGAGGAGTAGCTTCTATTTTTCAGTCAGGATTATTGATTAATGCCAAACCAGTTATTAGTTATGATTCTTTTGAATCACTGTCCCTCAGTCTTTCTCATCCAAAATGGAAATCAGAAAAGCCACTTTCACTATTTGTTATACCGTATATCGTCCACCGGGCGCTTACTCTCAGTTTTTGTCTGAATTCTCAGAATTCTTAACTGACTTACTATTAAATACAGATAAAATCATCATAATGGGTGATTTCAATATTCATGTGGATGTTGAGAGTGATAGCTTAAGCATAGCTTTTAATAATTTAATAGACTCGTATGGTTTTACACAAAACGTCCCCACATCTACTCATTCTTATCATCACACTCTTGATTTAATTCTGACTTATGGTGTAGAGATTAAGGACTTGGTAATAGTTCCTCAAAATCCTATTCTGTCCGACCATTTTTTAATAACCTTTGAGTTTACATTAAATGACTACACAGTCACAGAGTAAATTTCATCTCAGCAGGTGCTTATCAGAAAATGCTGTAACCAAATTTAAACAATCTCTTCCATCAATGTTTTCCTCTGTCTTGCAGAGTAATGCACCAGAGAACAGAGACTTAGATCATCTAGTTGAACATCTTACAAATTCAATGCAAACTTCACTTAATAAAATTGCTCCACTGAAAAAGAAAGTAATCAATCAGAGGAAACTGGCTCCTTGGTTCAATTCTGAGTTACGTACTTTAAAGCAGGCATCTAGAAACCAGGAGAGAAAATGGCACTCTACTAATGTTGAAGAATTTTATTTAACTTGAAAAGATAGTCTGCTAACATATAAAAAAGCTCTCCGTAAAGCTAGAACTTTATATTACTCATCTTTAATAGAGGAGAATAAAAATAACCCTAGGTTTCTGTTTAGTACTATTGCTAGACTAATTAAAAGTCCCATTTCTGTTGAACCATGTATCCCTAGAACTATAAGTAGTGATGACTTCATGAGATTCTTTATGAATACAATTATTTCAATTAGAGAGAAAATTCAAACCATCCTTCCTTCTACTATCTCTAGTCCCCTGTCAAATGAGGCAACTTAAAAAAAATCACTAGAGCCTGATTTATGTTTGGACAGTTTTTGTCCTGTTGAGCTCTCTGAATTGTCAAAAATAATAACCTCATCCAAACCATCCACATGCCTGCTAGATCCCATCCCAACCAGACTGTTTAAAGAGGTATTTCCCCTAATTAATGTTCACATTTTGGATCTACTTAATTTGTCTTTAATAAATGGTTATGTGCCACAGAGCTTTAAGGTTGCTGTAATTAAACCTTTACTTAAGAAGTCTGATCTTGATTCAGAAATTCTGGCCAACTATAGACCTATATCTAATCGAACTTTCATCTCAAAAATTCTAGAGAAAATAGTTGCAGGTCAGTTGCGTGAACATCTACAAAGAAATAATCTGTTTGAAGAGTTTCAGTCAGGGTTTAGAGCTCATCATAGCACAGAAACAGCACTAGTAAAAGTAACTAATGATATTCTCATGGCCTCAGACAATGAACTTGTGTCTACACTGGTCCTGTTAGACCTCAGTGCTGCATTTGATACAGTTGATCACAATGTTTTACTACAGAGGCTTGAAGATGATATTGGGATTACAGGAACGGCTCTAAAGTGGTTTAAATCATATCTATCTGATAGATTCCTGTTTGCAAATGTAAATAATAAATCTTCTTCATCCACCAAAGTTAGTCATGGAGTTCTTCAGGGCTCAGTGCTTGGACCAATACTCTTTACTTTATATATGCTTCCATTAGGTAAAGTTATTAAACAGCATGGGATAAATTTCCTTTGTTATGCTGATGACACACAGTTATATTTGTACATTAAACCCAATGAATTCAATCAGCTACTTAGACTACAAGCATGTCTTAAAGACATAAAAACCTTGATGACCCTAAATTTTCCATTTTTAAATTCAAACAAGACTGAGGTTTTGGTTTTTGGACCTGAGCATCTTGGGAATAAATTTTTCAGTCTTTCACCCTCCTTAGCTGGCATTAATCTGTCCTCCAGCTCTAATGTTAAAAATCTTGGTGTTATTTTTGATCAGGACATGTCTTTTATCCCCCACATTAAAAACGTTACTAGAACTGCCTTCTTCCACCTGCGTAATATCACTAAAATTAGAAACATCTTATCTAAAATGATGCATAAAAACTGGTCCATGCATTTGTCATGTCTAGACTGGACTATTGCAATGGTTTAATATCTGGGTGTCCAAATTCTTCCTTAAAACGTCTTCAGTTGATCCAAAATGCTGCTGCCAGAGTCTTAACCGGAGTTAGTAGGAGAGATCATATTTCTCCAGTTTTAGCTTCTCTCCATTGGCTCCCTGTCAAGTCCAGAATTGAATTCAAAAACTTACTTCTAACCTACAAAGCTCTCAACAACCTGGCTCCATCTTATATTACAGATCTTATTGTTCCATATTTTCCTAACAGAGCACTTTGCTCTCAGGCTGCAGGTTTACTTGTGGTTCCTAGAATTTCCAAAAACAGAATGGGAGGCAGATCCTTCAGTTATCAGGCTCCTGTCTTGTGGAACTAACTTCCTATCTCTGTCCGTGAGGCTGACACATTATCCAGTTTTAAAACTAGGCTTAAGACTTTCCATTTTGCTAAATCCTATAGTTAGGGTTGGCTTGGGTTTCCTGAGCTGTCCCTTAGTTATGTTGCTATAGGCTTAGACTGCTGGAGGACAAACTGACCACAATTTTCACTCTGCTGCTGTCTTTACTTACTCTGTTCAACCTGTTTTGTATTTGTAATTATTTTTTCTATCCTTAACATGTGTTTTTTTTTGTCTTTCAGGTACACCTGGACCTATACCTGGACCTACCATTCTATTTTCGTCTGTCTCTCCTTCCTGTCCTCTCAACCAGCCGGTCAAAGCAGATGGCCGCTTGTCCTGAGCCTGGTTCTGCTGGAGGTTTCTTCCCTTTAAAAGGGAGTTTTTTCTTTCCACTGTTGCCACTGTGCTTGCTCAGGATGGGAGACTGCAACGAAACCAAGATTCAACTTGTCTGCTGGATTCCTTAGATAGAGAACTTTACTAATTGGCTTTTATGTATATGAATGTTCCTGTAAAGTGCCCTGAGACAACTTTGTTGTGATTTGGCGCTATATAAATAAACTGAATTGAAAATTGAATTGAATAGAGTCCCACCTATGTCCAGTTTGCCTGGAGCAACCGTCAAATCAGCTTCATTTCGTTGCGTTGTCCTGGCGAAATGCAGCTAATTTGACCATTGAAATGCATTTATTAAGTAAAAGTTAAACTGAGACACACCTTTACTATAATGTCGAGCAAACAAATAATTGTTTTAGGTGCGTATCTTGTTAAATTTAGAAGAAATGCGCAACATTCCTCCTTCCTAATTTCCTCCCCGTCTGTGCACTCCCGGAGCACTGAGGCAGTGAATACTTTTGAAATGCAGCTGATTTGACCGTTAAAGTGCATTTATTAAGTAAAAGTTCACCTGAGACACACCTTTACTATAATTTTGAGCAAACAAATATTTTTAGGTGCTTGTTAAATTTTGAAGAAATGCACAGTGGCTCGTCGCTCTGTGAGCTCCCGCTTCCGCAAATCGGGTTTTGAAATGCAGATGATTTGACCGTCAAAATACATTTATTAGGTATCCTGATGCATGCTCAATAATCCAAGTAGAAAAATCTAAAAAAGTTCAATCTGGTCTGGGAAATCTGGGAAAAGTTAGACTGAGACATACCTTGACTATAAATTTGAGCAAACAAATAATTGTTTTTAAGTGTTAATCTTGTTAAATTCTTGTTAAAGTCCTCCCGTGCACGCTCCCGCAGCTACCATTTGGCAGCCAATCGAGTTTTGGCACAACACCGGCCCACAGTTCCAGGTTGTCAGCGATGATGCATAATAGATGTGACATATACGGCGAAGCAGCGCATTTATGAATTTTTCCACTTTATTAGACATATTTGGGCTGATGCAACTTATAGGGTGGTGTGAAGTGTATGGCGGAAAATATGGTCGTTTATCTTATCTGTCTGTGTTATTTCTCATCTCTCCCTCTGTCGGCCTTTTCAGTACTTTTCCTCAGTCTGCAACCTTCATTCGTTCCCAGTTCTACTCACCCCAGGTGTTTGTCATTTTGTCTCATCCGTCTCTCTTTAAATATCATCTTATTTTGTTTGTCCCTCGTCCGTGGATTGTGCTTCCCACAGCCGTTCATACTCTGTTCCTCCGTGTCTCCTCGTGATCATTGTTCATGTAAGTTTTGCTGCCACGTCAGCTTTTGTTTTTGATGCTGATAAATAACTTTATTTTTACCACCAAGTTCCTCAAATCTGTCTGCACCTTGGGTTCAACAATGCATAACATGATACAGGTCTGGTTAAGGGACAGAAAATCCTTGTTCAAGAACAGAAAAAGTATATTTCGTTTTGATGCTGTCATAACCAGAAAAACTAAACTGCATTGATTGCTCTCCTCTGAATGAGTGCCTCACTCCACCTGGGTTTGGACTCATTGCTATGGCAACCAAGTTAAAGGAGAAGTTTGTGTCTTTCAGCGTTACTAACACATAATTTTAACACGCTTCACATGCTTTACATGTTACACCACTTGATGCAATGATAAGAAGTCATGCACAGTACAGATGTTTTGGTGAGAACCATTCCTTAAATTGGCATCTTATTATATTTTTTCCTATAATTTTGTTTTAGTTAAAGAGAGGGAAAAAAGGTTTAGGAACAGTCTCCAAAAATGTGTTTAAATCATGACTTCGTCTGGATGGGTGTATGGAATTACAGAGTAGATGACAAAAATTGTGCGGTCTGAATACATTCCTTGTTGATTTCCTCACCGTGATCTTTGGATTCCCCCACCAGATTGGGTGTCTTGTTCTCAGGAACAGGGGGGCGCTGAACTGTAGGACATCATGGGAAACAGACAACTATTTCAGATTAAGTTAAAAAAATTTAATAAATAAAACAATGAAACAAATGGCTAATGTAAAAGAAGTCTGGAAAAATATTATTTTTGATTCATTCAGCTGTGCGACAAAGAGCAAAGTTTTAAGGTGCTCACAGAGAGATATTTTAAGAAGGACAGAAATCTTCAAACATACTGTGTGCTAGAAATAAAACAAGTGCAAAAACACATACTTAAAGCAAAAATAAAGCAACCAGCCAGAGTCTGTGAAATGCATCAAAGGATTTTTGCTCTCCTTGTGACTCCTTGTACCTAAAGATAGTTGCTTCCAGTACCAGTATGACCTCTGAATTAAGGATGATCAATATTATCGGTGTGGTATTGGTATCGACCGATATTAGCATTAAAGTTCAATATTGGACATCGGCTAGTCCATCAAAATGACTCACCAATGTAAAAGATGCTGTTTGTGTATGACAACCCAGTGACAAGGATGCCTGCAGCGGCAGCACAACGTGATGACGTCACGTGCGCCTACCTGATCTGATCACGACAGAGAAGAGGAAGTCAAAATGTCGGTGGTGTGGAAGGTTTTCTTTTTTTCCATTGAGGATGTTGGATTCCGAAGATTTTTGAACTACGTTGAGCCTCACTACATCCTCCTCAGTCTGAGATATTTTTCTGATAAAGCCTTACCCAACTTACAAGCAATCATTTTCAGTGTCATTGAGAAGCTAATAGTTGATGGCACTTGGGTGAGTTTTACAACAGACATGAAGTGTTAGCCCCGTTAGCATGATTAGTCTTACTGCACAATAGATAGATAAAAACTTTGAACTTAAAAGGTCTGTCCTTCATGCACAGAGTGCAGAGGATCCCACACTGCAGCTAGGAACCTGGAACAAGCCTCCACAAGTGAGACAGCATCACAGGTGACTAATGCTAATAAATAACATTTGACACTTTTCATTTAATATAAGTTAAAATGCTATGTATATCATGTGGCCATTGCTGAATATATGTCACCTTACAGCTGTTACACAATTTTTGTAGCAAATAAGCCCAAATAGGGCTATGTTCTGACAAAGGGAAGTACCAGTATATAAAATATCGGTATCGGTTATCAGCCAAATAAGTTTTAACATATTGGCATATCGAATATCAGCAAAAAAATCCAATTTTGTGCATCCCTAATCTGAATAAATATAACTAATGTGACCGATGAAAGCATAAAACTGTTTGAATCCAACTCTCCTAAAGGTAAACAAAAAATTCTCCTAAACAAGAAATAAAAACATTTGGTCTGATAATGTCTTGTTTTGTTCTGGTTGAAGCTGATGCAGCTTGAATACAAAAAAAAAATGGCAAGAGAAACAACTAAATATGGACAAAAAAAGAATCACATTACTTTCACCGGGAACTATCAATAACACAAAGCATATTTTAACTTTAACTGGCTAGATGATAAATGATTCCTAAATTAATGATTTGGTATTTTAGGAGAAGACAAAGCTCTGGGAGTCTTGACACATGATACTTCCATTACAAATTTCATGTCCAACATGTTTAAAGATAACATATTTTAACAATTCTGTTTCGTTCCAAGAGCCTCCACTCTGTTTGTACTTTGTCGGTTCATATCTTGAAGACTCATGAAAGCTCATTTTGTTGACAAGATGCAATAATTATCTGTGTTTTAAGTCCACAACACATTTTTCTTGGACCTGTCTCCTCTTTTTTTGGCTCTGACATCCCCATGGTCCACATAAATCAGTGATTTCTGGTTTTTGCTGCCAAGACAAAAGAGTTGAAGAAAAACTGAGACAACATCTGCCAGCAAGTCTTACTGATTACTGCTGTGAATCGAATCCAGGAGTGCCTCTGACCTACAGATGTTGAAGCTGTGAGCTAATAGTAAATACATGCTTTCACATGAATTGAAACAGAGATGTGGGAACTTAAATTCACTTCTATAATAAACAAAAATAAAACATGTAATGGATCAGAGATGTGATGCCATGCTTGACTCACAAGAAATGAAAACAAATTGATGAAAAATATGAGTTTCATACAGCGGGTTACAAAAGTATTCACCCCCTGGAAATCATTCTGTTTTGTTGTCTTGCAACTTGGATTTCTGCTAATTTTAAATGTGATTATAAGTAATAAAATAACAAAAATACTTCTGAATAATAAAGTAAAATAGGATCTTGA